CATCATGAACTCGTTCGTGAACGACATCTTCGAGCGCATCGCGGGCGAGGCGTCGCGCCTGGCGCACTACAACAAGCGCTCGACCATCACGTCTCGGGAGATCCAGACGGCCGTGCGGCTGCTGCTGCCCGGGGAGCTGGCGAAGCACGCGGTGTCGGAGGGCACCAAGGCCGTCACCAAGTACACCAGCGCCAAGTAACCCGTGAGTCGGCTGCCAACTCCCAACCTCTAACGGCTCTTTTAAGAGCCACCATATTTTCAAAGAGAGAGCTGCCATTTTCTTTGTCCTTGTGGCATTGTTTTCTCACTGCCCGTCGGAAGTAACCCACTACCGAGTCTGCTACCCTTAAGGGACGGAAGGTAGAAGAAAATTAATTGGAAGGAAGTGTAGGCGTTCCATGGGTGCTGGGGCACCTCATGTAGGATAGATAGCGAGGAGTTACCCGCTGGCCGCAGCTCCTGGGCGGCCAGTTTGCATTTCCCGGGCCCCGCCCCTGCGTGTTGTGATTGGCGGTGGGGTTTTCTGCCGGTTCTAACCTCCTGTCCCTGCCTTGATTGGGCGTCTGACCCCGGATGCGGTAGGCGCGGGACCCGCCCTCCGAGCTCAGCGCGCAAACTCGGTAAGGGAAGGGTTTTGGCTGCAGTGTCCCTTCCTTTTTCATTTCAGCATTTTCTTTTTAGAAAGAGATGAACTCGCGCTTTTTGTTAGAAGCGGGTTGGGAGGGCCTAGGTTTCTGGAACGCTCGGAACTTTGTGGCTGTGTGCCAGTCGCGCGCCTGGGCTGCGGGAATCCCGGGCTCTGGAGATGGTCTCCAGTTGTGCGGAGCTTCGGTTGGCGTTTTGTGTTCGTGTTTGAAATCTGGGGGAAAAATAAATTCTGCGTCATTCAGGGGGTCCTCAGTGAGAACCAGTTACCCTCAAACTCTTTCTAGATTACAACCTCAAACCTATGTCTCTTTTCCGGGGGCGGGTGAGGTCTAAGAGCCGTTTGCAAGCGTCTGTGACTGGTTTTCGTTTAAAAAGGGAATTTCAGAAATTGAAGTTGCTGCCTCATTTTATCTGAGCGAGTAAGTAGAGTACATTAATAATATCTAAGTGGCATTTTCGTAGCTTTCCTGTGGAGTGTGCTTTTACCCCGTGTTAACACATTTTACCAGTTGTTCAGAGCCCACTTAATCTTACTGCTCTGAAACGTCTTCCTGCTATGGATGTCTGTAACAGCTCGTCCAGCTTTTGGAACCTCCTGCATACATTTAGCTGCGTATTTCTTGTGTGCGTCCAGTTGCACAGCTCTTGCATGTAGTTTTCTGTAGAAAGTGAAGACTTAGGACATGAAAGTGAACCAGGGAAAGGAAAAAGCAAAACGTTTTTTATTACAGTACACATCCTACACTAATGATATAACAGACGTGTGAATAAATAATATAAATGTCGTGTACTTGTTATGTCACTTGAGCCAATTATTCGAGATAGATGATCATTTCCAAGCTAAATGCTTGTTTGGCTGTTTCTTTATCTTTCAGGATAAAGGTATCGGATTAAAAAGCAGATTTTGCGGGAAAAGAAGAGGGATGCATCAGGCCGAAGATGATGCACAGACATACAATCCAGCCACAGTGAAAATTTATAAAGACTCAACTTTTGAAAACTACAGGGTTCAGTTGAAAAGAACTCAGCTCATTCTCTTCCTTAGAACACTAAACCGCCTACGTGGTAAGTAAATCAGGCATTCACCTTTCGGGTTATTTTCGTCTTGGTAGAGTCCCCTCAGGGATGAGGGTACTGGAAATTGGGGAATAGCTTAGTGGTACAGCGTGAGTTCAGTTTCCAACACATACACGCACGCGCACAAAAGAGAATTTAATCCTTTGCTTGAGAATTTAAATGTCAGCAGGAGGTGGTGGTATACGCCTGTAATCCTAGCACTTGGGAGGCTGCGGCAGGAAGATCTCTGAGTCCAAGGCCAGCCTGGGCTACATAGTGATTTTAAACCAGCTGAACTACATAGCGATACCCTATCTCAAATAAAACAAAACAAAGCAACCAGGAGAAGTAAACGTTTGAAAAAAAAAACTCCAAAATTAAATGTCTCTGCCACCAGTATTTTTTTTTTTTCTTTTTTTGTACTGGGAATTGAACTCAGGGCCTTTTGCTTGCCAGGCAGGCGCTTGTGCCGCTGCGCTATATCCCCGGCCCGCTAAAATTAAATGTCAATTCAATCCATTGCTAATCAGCTCTAAAAGAATTCATTCAAAGCTAAACTGTCACAGTACATCTTTAGAAGAATCAACATTGTGAGTTTTTTTATAGAGAGGTTTCGAGGTAGATATCACAAAATAAACAGGTATTTTTTGTTCACAATATTGAGAAATAATTGGTAGGTCTTCCCCAGATTTTACAAACTAATGAAGTCTATATATGACATAGCCTTAAATGAAATAGAAGCAACTGTTTTTTAAGGGACCTTTTCTCCCCAGGCTATATCAAATGATAATATTTCCTTTTTCTCCTATGCACATATTTTTAAAAGCTAATTGCAACTGTTTTTGTTTTTGTTTTTTGTTTATTTATTTATTTTTTTGAGACAGGCTGTCTCTATGCAGTTCACGCTGGCCTTGAGCTTACTCGGTAGCCCAGGCTGATCTCAAAGTTGCCACGTCCTCCTCTCTCAGCCTCCCGAGTGCTGGGATTATAGGCGTGCACCACCACACCTGGCTGCAATTATTTTTGTAATCAAGATACCCAATACCCTGGGTAGATAGAGATGTATTCACAACATCCACTGTAAGGTAAGTGGTCCTGGATCTTGATATCGTGCAGCAATCCAATCAAACCATTATCTTTGGTGTGTTAAAGTTAGCTTAATAATGTACATTTTCCTCAAACTATATATTGAACATATATATAGCAATAATATATCGACAAAATGTCCATTGATTTGAATGACGTAATTTTGGTGTGTTGCTTTTCCTGATACTGTCTTTCAGGTTTGGATATGTAACTGTTTAGAGTCTGCATTGCATAAAGGCATTATTAATATTCTGCACATGGAAGTAGGGTTGAATTTTAAAATTTTCACTATGTAGGGTCTCACTATGTAGTGCAGGCTGGCCTTGATCTCACTTGTGTAACCCAGGCTGGCCTTGAACTCAAGAGTGATGCTCCTGCCTCAACCTCCAGAGCGCTGGGATTACAAGCGTGCACTACCAGGCACAGCAAATTTTTATTTTTTTATTTTTTATTTTTTCCTGTACCGGGAATTGAACTCACGATGTTGCACTTGCCCGGCAGGTGCTGTGCTGCTGAGCTGAATCCCCAGCCCCAAATTTTTAATTTTAATATACAAAGTCTAGAGTTTTCCACAACTTGAATGCACCTATACTCATTTACTATGGAAACAGCAATGGACACTGGACACTGGGAAACCAGAGAAGCATATCTGTCCTTCCCACTGTTACTTCCACATTATTAGATTATTAGATCTACAACCTCACAAAGTACGTAGAGATCAGCACTTGATTGTCATGTGGAAGACCCAGCCTCACCAGGTCCTGAAGGAGAAAGTAATTGCTAGAGCAAGTGAGGGGCTCGCATTCCAATATTTTTACTGAACTTTGTAATTAAATTACATGAGAAGTTTTCAGTGAATCATTGAGTGAGACTATCTAGTGAAACTTGCCTCTGCCACCTACTACAAAGCATTGGCAAGTTTTTTGTTTTTGGCTTTTTTCCTGTTCCCTATTAAAAAAGGGGATGTAGTAGTGTCTCATAAGTAATACTTTTAATATGCTTAGAATAATGACCTGCATAAAATAAGCATTCGATAAATAGGACTGAATGCTTCTGCCACCGATAGTAACCTAGTAGTAAAAACAGTTGGGAGTATTGACCAGGGAGAGAGCAGCCTTGCCTCTGGGCAGGACCTGGAGCATTATATCCCTCTTCTTTCTTTTCCTGGAAGGAGACTGATGTAAGATACTGACCTGGGTGACTCATGTGCATGGCTAGTGGTTTGTCTGGTCAGACAGGGATTTGAAATGGGTCAAAATGGAGGTCTGTAGACAGGAAGTTTGGGGAAAAGTGATGTGGGTGCATTTCTCAGAATGGTCCCAGAGGATCAGAGTCACGTCCCATGTGAATGCCGACCAAGAGGCCCTCTCTTTTGAAGCTGCTGTCAGTGACCAGCTTTATAAGCTTATCCATGCAGATGTCAGTCTCTCTTCCTAAGCGCCACTTCCTGTCTGAGCAGTTTGTAAACAGATCATCAGGGTGGTGATGGTAGAGGCTGCCGTGTTGAGGTCTGGCAGACCAGGACACTGACACCGCTAATTGTCCCATATGCCAGGGCAAATATTCTGTGTTCTTTCGAGTATTTTGTCAATGGTGAGGCAGGGATTTCTTTCCACTGGGACAGACCTTATTCTAGATTTCAGTGTGCTTCACTTTCTCTTATGCTGTAGCTAACAAGACCATTTATATGATTATTAAATAATTTACATATCACATTTCATATCTTTTAAGGCCACACGTAGATGACCAAGGCCTTAGTAATTTTTTCTTTTTTGAATTTGCAGTGGTGAGGATGGAATTCAAGGCCACGCCCATGCAAGGCAAGTGGCCAGCCACTGGGCTTTACTTCCGGCCTCCTCCTTAGCTTTACCAGGAAGGAAGCGTGGCATCCTTCATGAGCAGAAGTCCTTCAGTTTTGGAAGACTCGGTTAGAGCGTGTCTGAGAACTCTGCCTTCTCGGAGTGCTGCTCCCGGGACGCTGTATGTGCGCAACGGGCTGAGAGTGGCCTGGTGTCTCCCGATTCTGAGTACAGCGGCCGCTCCATCTCCTGTTCGTGACCAGTCACAAGCAACTCAGAATTGTGTGCTGCTGATTCTTGCACCTAAGAGCTTTCTCTGATGTTTTTAGTTTTGGGAAAGGAGGAATATGTACAATATTAATTTTACTGATTTGCCAAGATGATTTATTTTTATATTAGATTAAAGCAATTTTAATTATATTCATGAGCTGGCTTAAGAGAGCTGTGGGAGCTCTTGGAGTAAAGGAGCTGGGTCTGGGATTCCTTCTGTTTGCAGTTTTCTTTGTTTTCCCTCCTCCGCTGCCCACTGCTTTGCCTTGGCCCATCCCTCTGGGGCAGAGGCAGAGTGCTGCCAGAGACAATTGTAACGTTTCTAAAATGGTGAGGCAGGGATTTAAAATGACAAAATTGAAAGCTGGCTTTCAATTTTCACTCTCAAAAATGACACATTGAAAGCTGGCTAGCTGAACTGTCTCAGGAATCTTCAAATATAACTTTAATGTACTTATTGAGGCAAACTGCTATAAACTTCATAAATATAAATAAGTCCCCCCTGCCCCAAAGTACTGAGGATTGAACCTAAGACCTTCACACCGGGACCCTTTTTTATTCTGAGACAGGATCTCTCTAAACTGCCCAGGCTGGGCTCAAATTTGTGATTCTCCTGCCTCAGCACTCCCGAGTGTTGGGATTACAGGTAAGCACTACCACACCAGGCTACAAATAAATTTTTAATAATTCTTTAAAAATTTGTGACTTAGTGAAGTGTTTTTATATAACTGACTTGGGAAAACTATCTTGCTTCTTGTATTTCCTCCTTTGATATTTCATTTATATATTTTTGTATTTAACCTAATCATCTTTAGTTCCAGGGAGAACCCAAAGATTACGTTCTTCCAAAGCATTTTTTTTCTTATTTTAACATAGATGGAAACTTCCTTTCCATTCTTTCTTCTCCTTTCTAATTCAGAATACGAAGAATGTTGAGATTTTTAAAAAATTTTTTCTATAGATTAAGGAAATTATTTTCTGTATTGCAGATGGAACTAAGATTTTGTATTAAAAGTTTCCATGATAAACTCTAAGATGTTAAGAACCTTTTAACTTAAAGTGCAGAATGACTTCATTGCCTCTTTTTTTCTATTTAGAAAAGAAAATATTTTTTAGTAATCTAAAAACCACGGCTGGCTATGATTAGCTGGGCCCTCCAGTGCCACCATAGCCTCTAATTCCTTTTTCAGTGTGCACACAGCTGCTTGCAGATTTGGGTAAATGATATAGATCAAAATCCATTTAAGAGGAATAGCAGCCAAATGCTGTGTGCAGAACTGTGGAGATTCACATTCAGATCAAATCACTGTAAGAAAAAAATTCAAGTCAATTAGAGATTTCTTAAGAATTAGGTAGGTAGTGAATAATGTTGCAGATCACTACATTTTTCTGTTAGGTACAAAGTTTTATCGTGCATCTCCACACCCGTGTGTGTTAGGCTGTCTGTGGATACCCTCCTGCTGGAGATGATGTGGTGGCCCTCCGCCCCTGCCTGGCCTGGTGGGGACACAAGGGACGCCCCTGTGCGTGATGGCTGAGCCCAGGGTGAGGTCCTGGGGTACAGTGGTCCCTGTGCCTCGGCCTACACCAGGATTCAGTCCTTCCATGACCACGCTGTTCTCTCCTTGGGAAATGGTTAAAAAGGCCAGTGAGTGAACTTAACAAGGGATCACACTAAGAGGAATCAAGCATCTCTTCAGGGAAATTCAGGCTTCTGAAGCCAGGGAGCCCAAGAGGCTGATCGGTTCCTTCGAGAGACGCCAGGGGACGCTGCAGTCCCTCGCCCTCCCGATTGCCAGTCGGGAAGCGTTGTCGCCATCTCGTGGCCGTTAATGCAGCAGACCTTGTGTAGGTACCGTTTTCCATCAGGACTTCGATTTCTTTGTTTGTTTGTTTGTTTGTTTGTTTTGTTCTTGTTTTTTTCTGGTACCGGGAATCCAACTCACGACCTTGTGCTTGCCAGGCAGGCGCAGTGCCGCTGAGCTAAATCCCCAGCCCTAGGACTTCGATTTCATTGCTTGGGTGTCATCTTTGCATACACATGGTTGCACAGTCGCCAGACGAGTACTTTCCCAATTTACCTGCCGGTTCTCTCCATGGCCAAACTCCGGTAGGGCTCTTCTGAGCCCTCTCCCAGGCCCCAGCATGAACCAACATCACTTCCGATGGCCTCTCCATCCTTGGTGGGCCTGCCTAAGGAAACCTGCTGCGGCTGCCGAAGGGATTTATACTCTTTGCTTCAGTCACCCAGCCTCTGCGGAAGGACAGGAACCTAACTCCGCTAAGGGCCGGTGGGTTTCACAAGGACCGACACCTGTTTCCACTTTTGCATTTTGTAATTTTTCACTCCCTGAGTCTTGCCACCCCTCTTACTCCCTTGCTCATTACCTGAACATCTCTGTTATACATTATTACAGAAAATCTCTTCACTGCTTTGAATCCTGTGTGACTGGTTTATCGTTGACGTTGTACTGGAAAAAACCACACTAATAGTTTCCTGTGTACCTGTCTGGAATGTATTTATATAAAGAAAAATACACAAATGTGGGCTCTTGTTGCCCCCTTTATTACAAATGGCCAATGCTGCGTGTTCCTCTGCCTGTTGCTTTTCTCACCTGTTCTGTGAGAGTGCAAACAAACACTGCCTGGAATTGAGCAAGGACAATGAGTATTAAAACTATGATTTCCTTTAATGTGTGTTTCTGAATTTCATTCTCAATGTAGAAAATACAAAAAAAGAAATCTTAAAATGTTTAAACGTGCTAGCAAACAAGGAACAGAAAGCTGACAAAGTGGGAAGTATTTTTACTGTGTAAAACTAAAAAGGTCAATGTTAATATTTTATTAAAAATCTCTTACAACTATGTCAATACTATGTAGGCATAGTATTGTAGGCATAAAAATTTGTGGGTTTTTTCTCCTAGCTCGTATATCACTGCCAAGATAATTCAAAAATTTGTAAGCCTGATAAAATGGAGACTGCTCAGGAGTAAGGACTCAACTCTGTCAGCAGATGTGGGTGAGAAACTGCCGCGTACTCTGCCTGCGTTGCTGACCCATGCCTGCAGCCCACAGCTTTGACTTGTCTACCCTGAGCTGTTTCTCCTGACCCAGCAGGTTAAGACCCCACTGTGTACATGAAGACTCATTTGGTTCTTCACAACACACAGGAAATTTATAGCAGAGAATCCTCTAATGACTGGGTTAGCGCTTGCTTTCCAGACTCTTCCTAACTCTGCCACTGGGTCAGAGGCACAGAGGCATTTCTCATCACTTTGCTCACCACAGGCATATGCTTATGTTATGGATATAGATTTCCATATAGAATGTTATAATAGCTGAAAGGGAAGTATAAATATTCATCAACATTGTAATGAGCATGTAGGCAGCTTCTCAGGTAGCCCCTCCAGTACCCCAGCTCCTGTTAACTACATCCTGTATGATCTCTTAAATGTGGACTGGACCCTCTTAATCACTTTCAGTAGAACAGAATAGAGTAAAAGCAATGGGAAGTCACTTCCAAAATGAGGTTATAATGGATTTCAAGTTCTGTCTGGCTCCCTCTGGCTCTTGCTGTTTTGGTGAAGCAGGCTCTCGTGTGGAGGGGTCAGATAACAGGAACAGAGAATGACTCCAGACAGCAGCTGGTGAGTGCGCAGAGCTTCAGTCCAGCATCCTGTCAGCAGCCATGTGTCAAGGACCAGGGCAGCCAGCCCCTTCCTCTAGCCTTTGGGTGGTTGAGGCCCCTGCCAAGCCTTGACTGTAGGTTTGTGAGGGACGCTGAGCTGGAGCCTGGCAAGCCACTCCTTTTCTAGAACCCTGACCCTCAGAAGTTGAGAGATAAATGTTTTAAACAAGGAAGTTTTATGGTGATTTGCTACACAACCACAGCGTACACAAGGCATAAATAAATTGTAGCACATGTACACTACTGTTGTCGGGTGGGGTCCGGGGGAGTTGTCTCCCAGTTCTTGGTATCCAGAACAAGAATTCAGCAGGATGCTCTCAAGCAGTAAGAGGAGTGAGATTTATTTTTAAAGAGGAGTAAGAAGACAGTGAAGACGCGAAGGCACACTCCACAGGGCAGGACCCGAGCAGCAAGAAGAGCTTCCAGCCAGGTAGCTCTGGATCTCAGGTCCTGGGGCCTCGGAGGATGTGGAGCTGGAGATGGCGAGGAATTGTGGCCCAAGGGGAGACCCAGCTCAGCCCACGCGGGGAGGGGGAGTTTTACACCACAAAGATTTTAGGGGCAGAGTGCTGGCATCTAAAGCCCACAGGACGGGGGTCAAAAGCACAGGGCAAATGAGGTTGGATGCAGACCAGGGCCAGTTACTTTTGGGTTTGCACATGGCTGGAGTCCTGGGGCGACAGTGTGACCTCTGTTGGCTTTTAGTATCTTGACATAGTGGCCCTTGTGATGGCTCAGTCCCTGCCCCGCCCCTTCCTGCTCTTTCCTTGTCCTTGCTCTACCTCCTGCCTCACTGTGACAAACTGCACAGACATGGAGGGGGTGAATCACATCTGTACCACAGTGATGGAACTTACTGAGCATTGTTCTATTTACGTGAAGTTCAGATATACGTAAGCGTTTATGAATGAAAAATTAAGAATGAAATAAAATGTGAAACAGCAATGAAAGGGAAAGTCAGTTTAGTGGTTGCCTTTGAGGAGGAGAAGGGATAATGATTGGGAGGAATTGTGTTTTTTTAAATATTTTTTTAAAAACAGGCAAAAAAAAAAAAAAAAAAGAAAAAACCAATAGAAACGATACAGAATTTCAAAACCGGAGGAACTTTACTAGATACTTGCCGTGTTCTGCATCTTGATCCTTGTCACTAATAAGCTTCAGTGTATTTTAAATATCTTATGACTGAATTACTTAAAAATCTGTTTAAAAAGAGGAAAATGTATTTGCAGTGAGTTATTTTAAGGACCTATAGGTTTATAGCAAATAAAAGCATAACTAGAGAATGGAACTTGAAAAAAATTCCAGACTTTCTACTTACTAAATAGACTCAAAATATATACGAAAACAGCATAATGTAATTTATGCAAATATAAACTTTTGTAAATAATCATTATTCAAGCCTTTGACTACTGCGACACAATCTGAAATCATACTTCTAAAAAAATAATTTCAAAAATAGAAGAATGGCTAAAGCAGAGGATAGTACGTAGTCTGCTAAGCATTTTAGTATGTGCTGTGCGCGGTTTTGACTGCAGTGCAGGTATTACAATGGCGATCAAGGAGACCGTATTTGATGAGCTGCGAGTGCGGCACGGGTGCTGGAGGGCCTGTGGCTGTGGTCAGGGAAGGACTTCTGTAAGAGTAAATTGCTGGTTTGTGTGGGTGTCACTTAAGAACGACTTAACCCAGCTTTCTGAAAACGTCGCTCAGAGTCTGTGGCGACCTCCTCGGTGCTGCAGGTTTCTTCAGGCTCGGCGCGGTCAGGTTTTTCTTTGACAGTCCGTGGAACCGAGGCTGTCCATCTCGGTCGGGGCGTGTGTTTGTGCCGAGCGTGTCTTCGCGGGGAGTCACCGCTTCCTC